AGTTAATAAAAATACAACTATTCATATTAGTTTATGTTAGCCCAGGTTTATTAAATGATATTAACAGATACAACTTTTGATTTTAATAATGTATTAGTAAAAGCTGAAAAATACACATAATGAATTTATTGTTATTATTATTATTTTTATTATTGGGATTTACATTTGTGCCATTACATTTATGCAAAGTTCTTTTGCATTCAAAATGATCACCAAGTTATTTTCATCTCCGTTTTGGACTATAAAATATTACACTGCTCACTTGAGAGCGAATGACTGTAAATTTAAGCAATTATACAATCAATAAAGTTAATAAAAATAGAACTGTTATTTGTTACTCCAATGCCAGCTCGGGTTCATTTAAATAATATCAACAAATACAACTTTTTGTTTTTATATTTTTAGTAAATGCTGAATTTAACATTAACTAAGATTAATAAATTCTTACGTATGAACAATTTTTCATTTTTAGTTGATGATTAGTTAACGATTACCAACATTTTATTTATTTATTTTAACAATATTATTATATTTTTATGGCTTTTCAGTGCTGGTTTATACTACATTATTAATTATATAATTTTAAACCCTCACATTAAGTTTAAAATTGTAATGGATGAATTGCGGGCTAAATAGGGCGATTCCTTCAGATTTCCGCCCTTAACAACGCTACAGTTCAAATGAAATAATCACTCCAATCATATTTAAGTTGACAAAAACTATAGAATCTATATAGAGTTTCATGATCATTTTCCCATTTAAAAACGGTTTACTGTTTCTCAGTGTGATGTTGCTTCTAAAAAGAAACACACACTTCAAAAACACTGATTGACAAGTTTATTTTAAACAACTTGTCACATCTCCTGAAAAGCAAGATCCAATGTTTTGTTTACAGGTTCCTGACAGACGTAACGTGCTCAGCTAACGACACGACTAGCATCAGCGCATTTAAAACACCAAAACATTCAAAACCACAGACTAACACGAGTCATATTCATTAGACATACATAAATGATGTGATAAATATATCGGAGGATGTAATAGGTAAGTAATTACTACCTTTTCTAAGCCGTTCACAGTGTTTAACCAACTGCGCTAACACAGATCCACTGACTGTCGGTCTTCCGCCAAGGAAACACGGCCCGGTTTATAGTCAACCACAGACGCTAAGGTCGGCAAACATCTTCAGCCTCACCGAGCTGGAAAGTTAAAACTGAGTTTGATAAAGTAAATGAGCTAAAACCGTCCAGAAAAGCTCGGCTAGGTGCAGAATGTCGAGGAATTCCCCCGCGATACTTCCGCGCCTCATCACACTGTGCGCTGTTTCCGGGTAGTGGAATTATGGGAAGACAGATTACAGTAAAAAGCCACAGGAAACTTCTTCAGCAGGGTTG